TTGCAAAGTGCCAAGCACTCCTGGCAGGTCAGGAGGGCTATGTCTACACTCGCGGCTTTTTGCGCGAGAAATGTGCAAATGAGGCTAACCATGGAATATTGCTGAGCCTCATTTGCATACCTAATGAGTCGCCATTTTTGCAGAAGAGGCTCTTGCACCAGAAGGAGCTGTCTACACTGCCCCTTCTTGCACAAGAAAAGCCCTCTTGCACAATGCTGTTATTCCTTAAAATAATCGGCATAGCGGCATTGTGCAAAAGGGTTTTTCTTGAGCAAGAAGGGGCAGTGTAGGCAGCTCCTTCTGGCGCAAGAGCCTCTTCTGCAAAAATGACGGCTCATTAGGTATGCCAATGAGACTCAGCGATATTCCACGCTTGACCTCATTTGCATATTTCTCATGCAAGAAGCCGCGAGTGTAGACATAGCCAAGGAGACTTCCCACGTTCCATTGCCCCCACATCCCTGATTGGCCTGGAGCATAAGGGGAAGCTGCAGCTCCTTCTGGCGCAAGAGCCTCTTCTGCAAAAATGACGGCTCATTAGGTATGCCAATGAGACTCAGCGATATTCCACGCTTGACCTCATTTGCATATTTCTCATGCAAGAAGCCGCGAGTGTAGACATAGCCAAGGAGACTTCCCACGTTCCATTGCCCCCACATCCCTGATTGGCCTGGAGCATAAGGGGAAGCTGGTGAAGTCACCTCCCACTGCCAGGGGCATGGGTGCTTAGGGGGAACCTTTGGAAGGGGGCAAAAACTTCACGTGCTCCCTCACTGACAGACCAATCATGGTCTGTGGGTGGGGCTACAGGGAAGTATCCTGGCCCCGCCCCTTCCACCTGAGGCCCTGCCCCTTCCAGTGAGGCCCAGGGCCACTTCAAAAATTTCTGAAATGGCCCCCAGCAAAAAAATTATTGCCCACCCCTGGGTTAGCTGGTGCATTGTGTTCATGTTGGCTCAGTAACGTCCTTTGACCCATCTGGTCTCACTTGCAACCACTTCAGTCCTGCTTTTGATACTAAACAACCACTTGTGTTTATTCTCATGCCCACTGTGAATGACTGTTCCCTGGGGGAACACCCACTGCGCATCTCTCTCTTGCACTAAGGAAGTGGGCAGCCCTGATGAGCTGTCACTGTGTAAAAGTTTTACAGGGGACAAGGTGGATTTATTTGGGTCCCTTTTGGGGGCCGGTTTCCTGGGAGCTGAGCCCTTGGATCTGGAGTTGAACTCCTCCAGTGTCCGTGTTGTTCTGCTGGGGGCTGTAACCCCAGCTCTGGGCCTTGTCTATGGGAGACCAGAGGGTCTGGTGCAGCAGGACAGCGTGATGGGGAGCTCCAGAGGGCAGGACAGTGGGTGTCATTGGCACAATCAGCACACAGGGAGACAACCCCCAGCCAATGACTGTGATCCCACAGGTCTCCCCGCTCTCACCCCAGTGCTTGGTGAAGTTCTGGGCCAGCCCCTGGTGCTGCACCCGGCAGTCGTAGTAGTCGCCCTGGCGGGGCAGGAAGGGCAGGTAGGAGAACTTGCGGAAGGCGTGGTCCGGGCGGGGGTAGAAGTCGGTCTCGTAGACGCCCTCGGCCACCTCCTGCCCGTTCCTCAGCCACGTCACGCTGAGCGCGGGCGGGGAGAACTTGTCGGCCAAGCAGATCAGGACGTTGGGCTCCCCCAGCTCCACGGGGTCCTCGTGGAACACGGTCACCTCTGGGGGCACTGGGGAGAAAGGGGGCAGTGGGTCCCATGGCCTGCTCCCAGCCGGTCAGTCCTTGGTGCCCACGGCCTAGCTCAGGGTCTTTCCCCACCACTGAGGGGGGCCCAGCTCCCTGCACCATGGCTCATGGAGCACAAGGGGCAAGGCAGAGCAGGGGCAGTGAACAGCCCTCAGCAAGGGCTCAGCCTGGGAGGAGAGTGGGTGGGGGAGCTGAGTGGGGGCTGGCACTGAGGCGCATGGGGAAGGGATCCGGGGGGAAGGTGGCAGGGGGGGGGCGGCCCCCGTGCTG